GTGCCCGGGAGAGGAGAGAAGCGCACTTAGCGAGGGAAGGACTCGGCCCCCCGCCCGCGCGCGGCCCGTCCCCACGGCCAGCTCGGGAGCCCGGGCGCTCTCAGAGCACAGGGGCGCGTGGCACTGAGCTGCAGGCGCCTCCTGACCGCTTTCAGCAGGTTTCTTTTGAAACCGACCGACAAATCGACTGGCAGAGGCCTGCTGGAGGTGGAATGGAAACCACATCTGGCAAGGGAGACACGTTTTGGATTCAATTCCAGGATGTTTCTGGAGTAACAAAGGATCTATCTGCATTAGGCGCGTAAGGATTTTGCAGGGCCGTCCCACCGGGCAGTCGCGATCTACCTGGTTGCAGTCATTCTTGGTTAGTTTTCATGAGAAATTCAAGCATTCAACGACCCCCCCCCCCAACTCATTTCACTGGATACATTTTCTCCCTCCAGAATTGACCAAGGTGCATACTTATCTAGAGAACATCACGAATAAACACACTTCTTAGAATTTTTTTTGGTGCTATTACTGCGCTGATTCTTCTTCGGGGCAAAGAAAGTTAAACGGAGGAAAACAAAACAAAAAGGAAAATTAAGTCAGAATATACTGGTGCTCTATCGGTATTTAAGAAAGGAGAAAAATTAAAGAGGAATCAGCGATTGTTTAAAGAAAAGTAATCCTTTTTCTGGATTTTAAAACTTGGCTCCAAATTGTTTCATCTCCCTCTCTCCCTCTCTCTCTCTAGCTGGCTTTGAAGGGTCCCTGCAGCTGTGTCTTCAATTTGAAAGCCAGTTGCCTCTCATTTATTTACAAGAACACAAAAGACAACAAGGGCCAGGGTGGAGCTGGAGACAGTTGGAGGGGAAAGCACTTTCCTTGAATCTTGTCCAGAGACAAATTTGCATTCGAATGAAAACACTACATTGTCCACCACTTCTGGGCAGGGAGTCTCCAAGCCTCCAGGTTTTCCTGGTACAGCAGAAAGGTTTTGGGAAAGGGCTGGTGTCAAATGGGGGTAGGACTGGACAGGCAAAGGGGGGGCTGGGAAGGAAAGTTTTGGGTCAGGAGTGGGGGTTTGTGGGGGAGAGGGAGAAAGTGAGAGAGGAAGAGAAAGGGAGAGAAACAGATGCTGGCCATTCAAGTTTTAATTAAGCCTCTCCACTCGTTTTGAAACAGCAACAGGCAAATAATTGGCCACTGCTCTGCACATACCCAGCATTGCAACTTTTCCCTGTGAAGCTGGAGTCAAGGAAGTATCTGTGGGATTTAACTGACCAACTTGAAAACCCCCTGGTAGCGGCAGCCTGGGCTGAGACGGAGGTAATAAGCATGCAGTTGAAAGGCATTCTCTGCCTTGTGTGTGTGTGTGTGTATTTATATATAAGACACACCCACATATATATGTTAACTATATAACGCACTGCATTGAGTCCTATCTGACTCATAGAGACCCCTCCTTGGGTTTCTGAGGGAATATCACCATGGAAGTAGATTGCCCAACCTTCCTTTTGAGGAGTGGCTGGTGAGTTTGAACCACGAGCCTTCTGGCTAGCAGTCAAATGCCTTAGGCACTATGCTACCAGAGCTCCTATGTAACTATGTTGTTGTTGTTATGTGCCATTGAGTCAGACCCAACTCATAGCGACCTTCCTTGGGTTTCCGAGGCAGTATCACTACGGAAGTAGATTGCCCCATCTTCCTTCCGAGGAGTGGCTGGTGGGTTTGAACCACCAGTCTTCTGGTTAGCAGTCAAGTGTCTTAGGCACTATGCCACCAGAGCTCTGATGTAACTATATATATATATATATATATATATATATACACATACAAACCCACCAGCCACTCCTCGGAAGGAAGGTTGGGCAATCCTACTTCCGTAGTGATACTGCCTCGGAAACCCAAGGAGGGGTCGCTATGAGTCGGGGCCGACTCGACGGCACATAATAACAACAACATATATACAAAAACAAACAACAAACAAACTCACTGCGATCCAGTTGTTTCCAATTCTAGCGACCCCTGCTTGGGTTTCTGAGGTGGTATCTCTATGGAAGTAAATTGCCCAGTCTTCCTTCTTCCTTCTGAGGAGCGGCTGGTGGGTTTGAACCACCAGTCTTCTGGTTAGCAGTCAAGTGTCTTAGGCACTGTGCCACCAGAGTTCCCAAATATATATATGTAGTAACTACATATATATAGTAACTAGACAAAGAAAAGGAGTCCCTGGGTGGCTCAGTTAAGCACTTGATTACTGGCTGAAATGTTGGTGGTTCGAACCCACCCTTGTAAGACAAGCCTGATGCTCCGTTTCCACGAGATCATGCCTTGGGAAGCCCTACACAGCACAGTGCTCCTCTACACATGTGGGGTCACCAGGAGTCAGCATCAACTCGAACTACTGACAACAAGACCCAGAAAGTAATTATTTTGAGTTTAGCAACAGGGATGAAAGTAAAACGTATGCTCCAGGAGAGCAGACTGGAACCTCCTGTTCTGAGAAGGTTTCCAGGCTGTATTCGTTATGGGAGCAGAGGACCTCTTCTTTCTGCTACACAGAGGCTGGTGGTATGAACTGCCGACTTCTGGGTTTAGCAGTTGCGCTTTTAACCAATGCACCACCAGAGCTGCTTTTTTGAGGTTAGGAGTCACATGCAACACTGGCAGCACTGCCCGGGCCCTTCCCGTAATGCACAGGTAGGATGCAGAGGTGTTCTGGCTGGGAAGGATCTGTCAGGTGGCCTGGAGCGGGCCTGAGTGCATTCTAAGGAGCTCCAGCGGAGCCAGCTGCTGGTAGGGTTGGGAACCCCTGCCAAGCTAGCGTCCATGCGTTCCTTTTCCTTGCTTCTGAAGTTCAAGTCAGGTTCTCTATCAACCAGGGCCTGAGCAACAGTCAACCACGCAGAAGCAGCTGCCAAGTGACTAAACGTCTGCACAGGAATTCCTGACAACCCTTCCCATGGGAGCACGGGGTGGGGTGGGGGGAGAAAGTGGCCTGGGGAGGGTCGAGAGAGAGCCCTGCCCACAACAAAACAAACACTTTCTGTCTTGTTGGGGTAATTATATTACAATAATTACCTTGTAGGACATTAGTGATGCTATTACCAAACAGCACTGTTTCATAATAAAATAAATACTAAATAAAGTGCATCAATATACATAAACACTATCATATCTGTCCTTAACACTTCACTATTAGCATCCTGGAAAATGTTTAATATGTTTTTGCAAAATTTTTTTTTTCTATTATTACCTTTTCCCTGTTGAAGTTTTGTAGTAGTGCTAACTCTGCAAATACTATTGTTGTAAAAGGTTCCTTCAAACCAAACCCTTTGTCCTTGAGGTTGAGTCAATTGCCACTCAACAATGCTTAGGACAGACCTGCCCTACAGGGTTTCCGAGGCTGTAATCTTTAAGCAAGCAAAGCGCAAACAAAATTCATTGTCACAGAGTCCATTCTGACTCACAGTGCTCCTAGATGACAGAGTAGAACTGCACCATGGGGTTTCCAAGACTGCAAATCTTTAAGGAAGCAGACTGCCAAGCTTTTTCCCTGTGAGGAGCAGCTGGTGGGTTTGAACAGCTCTGCCCTCTGGTTAGCAGCAGAGCGCTTACCCACTGCACCGTCAGGGCTCCTTCTCAATGGCCTGGAGACTAATAATGCGCCAGGAAGGTTCTCTGGGTCCAACATCAATCAGACAAAGACAGTCATCTTTGGAGAACTTGTTTCCACTCTTGTGCTTAAGTTTGTTTGCTTCCCCATTATATAATTTTATTTGGCAACTCTTAGTCAGTTAGGGATACAAAAGGCTGCACTGCAAGCCTTCTGAGCAATTCTTAGGATGGTTTATTACTAACTAGGTCATTGGATTAGATATAATATGAGCACATTTCAAGATGCCCAAAATTTCATCAACTTTGCTGTCACAGAGATTCAATTCCTCCTTAAAAGTATAGTAACACTGTGAAGCCATGAGTCCATTTTTTTAAAAAATCCATAAAGTTATAATTCAAGTAAAAAAAAAAATTAAACTAATGACTACTACACCCTCCTCCGCCAGGGATATTTGGAAATATGTGAGTCAAGCATTGAGAATGAAACCTTTGTTATTGATGAGACCTTGGAAAGGAAAATGATGCTATAAAACGTTTAGAGATATTTGGGGCAGATTGGGTCCCAATACCATCCTTGATCACATACTAGGAGCTACTGAAAGGAAAAATCCCTACAGTGGTCTTCATCCTCAGCTGTTTCAGTCAATTCTCACCTGTGCTGTTGTTGTCAAGTGGCTTTGAGTTGTTGTTGGATGACTTTGAGTCAATCCCAACTCATAACAACACTGTAGGACAGAAGAGAGCTGTCCCGTAGGGTTCCCAAGGCTGAAATCATTATGGGAGCAGACCACCAGGTCTCTTCTCTTGAGGAGCTGCTGATAGGTTCAAACCATCAATTTTTCCCACGAATAACCAAATGCTTAACCATTGTGCTACCAGAGCTCCTTTCCCCACCCAAACCAAAAAACCAAAACCAAACTCGACTGCCGTGGAGTTGGATCCGACTCATAGCAATACCTCCTTGTGTTTCCAAGGCAGTGTCTCTATGGAAGTAGACTGCCTAACCTTCCATCCAAGGAGTGGCTGGTGGGTTTGAACTCCCAGCCTTCTGGTTAGCAATCACATGCCTTAGGCACTACATCA